TTTTGAAATGTAAAAGTTCTGTAATGCTGTTGGTATCCAGTTTTGTTTCAAAGTGTTAAATGATATTCACATGATTTGATTTTGGCAAACATAAATAATTAAATATAAGTATAATATAAGAGACAATCTACATTTGAATTTGAGTACTAACTCAAATTTGAAGGTTCTTAAGCAATCTTAATTTAGTTGCGAGAATTCAAGCCAAGAAGAGACTATACGCCTAATTACTTAATATGATTTTCAATTCTAATATTATAGAAACCGCCACGTGTATTCAATTGATGTATATCATATGTGCCTTTTTCTGATTCGGCTTAAGTTCGAAAAAATTTTCTGTATATTTTTTGAACATAATAGATTAATAAACTTTATTTATCAGCAAAATTTTATTTTCCATATTAAAATTTTGATTTCAATTTCAATTTAAACTTTTTCAAATGTACATACATAATTTCGCTATAGAAAGAAGTTAAGTAAGCAAAACAGAAACGTCAACGTAAAAAATTATGTAATCGAATGCACACATGTGCTTATTACACAATGTTATCTTTCATCTTCATTTACTCCAAAATTTCAATTCTATGTGTTTTTCATTTTTTACTTTGCATGATTGTTTTATTTTATAAATAAAATTTTCTATATAAAGAAAATTATACACCATACGTACAAGTATGTACATATGTTTGTAGGTAACAATATAGGGGAATTTTTTCTGTGAAACTTTTCAAAATGAAAAATTACGTAATATCTAACGTTGTTATGCTTACTGTTCTTATAAATATTTATTTTTTTTTTTTCGCGGAAAGACAAATGATCTATTATTTAAACGCTATTTAACTCTACTGTAAATCTATTAAACATAAATTTTTTTTTGTTGTTTCTTTTTTTTAAATGTCAGAAAATTTAAAGTGAAACAATTTAAAATTCAGAAGTTCTTGTAACAATTGGCATATGTTATACGTGTACAATATGTTTTTTTTATTAAAAATATAGAAGCAAAACTGTAAATCTCAAATTTGAATTGTCTGAAATTATTCTACATTATACTGATTTTATAGTTCTTGTATTTGTATGAGATTATGTATGGTACTTGGACTGTTCTACAGTTATACTGTAATTATAACCTTTTTTACATTAATAATTGCATTTTGCATTCAGTTCGATGCAAAATAATCCGTAAAATTCTCTTAAACAACAGATCTGCAAAGTGAGTGGAATTACCATGAGCCTTTTCCCAAATTGTAATATTTTCATAACAAGGAAATTTCCGGCCCAATAACTCGAGAAGCAAAGCTAAATACGTACTTCAATCAGAATGCGATCGCCCACAAGAAAATATTATAATCAAATTAAAACGAAGAAAGTCAATTTGTTTGAGTTAAAGTTCATTATACAAAAACAAAAATTGAAAATTATTCTTTATTGTTATTGACCTTGTCGTTAGTCAGTTAGACAATAATAATATAAGTTAATTCACTCATCATACAACGGATTTTACTTTCATTGATCTCGAAAAAAAAAAAAATGAATTCATTAACATTAATTATAAACATTATTTTATGAGGAAAACATTACGTATGTGTGGAATTCTCGTATTCTTCTATAATATTCTCAATTATTATATTCTTTATACTTACTAAGCATATACAGTATATGTACAACATAATCTATATACGAAAATACCTATATATATGATTGCTTGTATACCTTTTTAAAATTAGAAATTTTGTTATCTTTATTTAAACTTATCATACAAAAACAACAAAAAAGCAAACAACAATTTTATACTATCGCCAAATAATGTTATATTTTTATGTTTGTTTAAATTAGTATTAAGTAGCGCTAGTAGTACATAAATTTTCATAATAGAACATTAAAATTATTGTATTTAAAGAAAGATGTTCACCGCAACGTAATCACATAATATGATTTCAAAAAAAAAAATGTACTCACTATTCATTTTGGTGATAGCAGAATCCGTAAACATTAAATTTTTCGGGTACATATTTGTTTCTTCGGAGTGGGAGTTAATGAATTCTTTATTCTATATATAGGAAAAATAATACATACACTCATATTATATGGTATAATATCGTTTTCCAAATATTTTTCTTATTAACTCAAAATTTAGTTTTATACTGAGGTTTTAAATGGAACAAAGTGTTCATATTTCAACTTCTATTTTCAGCAATAATATTGTATTGAATTTGTTATACATTAATTTATTAGCCCTGCAATAATATTCAAATTATAAGAATTAATAAGGGAATTACTTGTTGCTACGATAGATGATTCATGCTTGCCTGTTTGACATTGGCAATTAAAGAGACAAATTATCCAGTACAGAACTAGTGATACACTAATTTACTCTTCAGTATTATTTAAGAATAATCAAGAATCTATATTTTTTAAATATAAAATAACCGAAGATTTGTTCACAAAGTATAGGGGGGGGGGGGGGGGGCGGCATGTTTCAAATGCACTGGAATAAGAATTTTAAGAATATAAGCAATATTTTGTAATTTGTAAATAGTTTTCCAAATTATTGTTAACTAAATTATTTACTTCTACAAGCTATACACACAACAACGTGATTTTAATATTAAAGGCAATATTAGCTCGAATTTGTTATATTGTTTTTGAAATACCGCAGTATTTTAAATCTTCGTTTTCAATTTAAAATTTCATTGAAAAATTTTTTTAAATTTAGACAATTTGGACAAAGCTAACCCTAACAAATTGATCTATTTTTCTTAACTTCCACAATAAAAATATTAATTCCTTGGTCCGAATGCTTTATATTTCTCACACCTGTAATATTACAATAACTGAATCTTATTATACAATTAAGTAAAAATAAAAATTCATATAATGTATGTTTCTTTAAAAATGGTGTTGTGTTAGTTGTTATATGCTTTCTTTTCTAAAAATATACAATTTTACGTAGTATTTTGGTATGTGTATACTCGTATGAGCATTTATTAAAAAAAAATAATGTACACGTTCTTGAATTGTATAATAAATTATACAATATAAGATTCCTAATTCTTAATAATAATGTTAATAATAACAATGTTTCAGTGTAATGTAAGTTGTGTTATACTGATGATATTTGGTATATGTGTGTGTTAATATAAATTCAGATAGATATTTTCTCTTTTTCGAAATCATTAAATAATATGTTTGATTCTGTCTGTTTATCTAACAAAAATATTTATGTAATTACAGTTAATGTCAGTATTTACAGATAGAAAGATTTAAACATAATTACATGTGATATGATAACAAGCAGTATAGTATTTGATACTTTTTGTATTTACTAAGTTTAGAAGGTGAAAAGGGTTCTAATTCTCAAGTTATTTAAATTTTATGGTTATTGTAGAATGTTCGATAAAAATTCGAATATTTATGCTGAACTATAGACAGAATATTTTAATATAAGCACTTTAGTAGAATAAATTAGTAGAGTGCAATTAATGTAGAGCTAGTATTCAAATCTTTTAATTGGTTGCATTTCAAAAGTATATTGAAATGCTCGGTATTTCTTGGAAATCAAGTAATAAAACAACTTATTTACAAATTAAAAATTTTTACTAACAATTAATTTTTCATCCATATACTAAACAACAAATCCGTACTAAAAATATATGCGAAATAATGCTTGTATATGTGTAAGTAAATTTTAAGTATATGAATAGAAAATTTATTAATTTTACTGTGAAAACCTAAACAACTTACAAATTGCTGGTTAATCATGTGGAATTTAATTGTTCTCCTACATAATATTATTCTTCCATACACACATACATACATTGTAACATTATAAGTACAAACTTGCATACATAACATACCTATACTGTATCATATTACAATATGTAATGATATCTCTAATAACAATAGCATAAAATTGTGTGCGGAGGTGTATTTATTTGTCTATGCATATAAACACATTCATACAACAAGTATAGCAATATTTTAAAACATGTGTACTTAAAAAATTGACTTAAAATACTTTACTCGAACAAAACATTCATCATTCCCGCACAAAAAGAAAGAAAAAGCTTTGTGTTTTTTTTTTTCTTCACAGAGAAAGTGAAGTTATTGTGGAAGAATAACAAAAAATTACGGTACCCTGTAAAAGGTACATAATTTGTTTTTTTCTTTTTTCATTGCCCGTTTAAGTAATGATATGTATGTAAGTTTTAAGATACGTGCACGTGATATGGATACTGAAATAACTGAAAATAAAAATTAAGCTTACTTATCAAAATAATAACAGAAATGCGAAAAAAAAAAACGTTTGCGTTTAATTTCTGACAGAAAAAAAATAAGGCAGGAAAATTGAATACCCCAGTCTATATACAAATGAGCAGTCATTTCCATATGAATTTTGTTAAAAAAGTACAAAAAAAAAATTAAAAATACCTACAAAATTGTAAAAAAAAAATTGTTATATTTGCTTTATAATATGACATGATCCCAATTTTATGCCATATTAATTAACTCATGAAATATAAATTTATGGCACATAGTAAATATACATATACATCCATACATACATATGTAGGTAATAAGTACCTGCAAGTGGAATTTATGATTTAAATTAAATTTAAAGAGGTTATGATTATTTTATGGGGATTGTTAAAATGTATAATTTTTCATGACTTACTGAAGTATTGTGTTTCCGTCTCTCAATGTTACTTGTGAGGGACTCATCGTAAAATTTTTGACGTGAGTAGCTTCCTGTGATTGGCGCCTCAAATCCATTATATATTGAGCCGCAATACACAAGAATGGATAGGATAAATTTAAGATTTTATCATGTTTTCAAATCTGCAAGTGTTTGGTTTTTAGTGAAAAGACTTGCTTAACTGTAATTACTATATAATTATACTGAATGTATAATTATTGTAAAATTTCTGTAAACAGTTACAAAAATTTAATTATAACAATTTATTTATAAAATTTATTAATTTATTTATTTTTTTTCTTTATTTCAGGTAAGTTGAAATCATTTCTTCTTTTAATATGATTACAATTTTTGGGGGAAAAAATAATGATAATGGAAGTAAGGTACTTTTGTTGTATAACTTGTAAAATTCTAGATTGGATATTGAAAAACAAAAATTTGAATATTAAATGTCCGCGGTGGAAGTTCGTCGGACTTAAACACTTAATCTTAATGGAAATGAAAGACGACATAATTCCAAAAATTTTAGAGCCATACTTGAACCGCACGTCAAACTTGTCATAGATTTTTCAAGTTAAATCAAAATTCGTGTGCCACATACAATACAATATTTCCCATAATTTATTTTTTTATTAGGCACTTATTAAGCTTTATCCAAACACTTTAAGAAAACTCACGTCACTTGATTTTATAGTATACAGACACTCAAATTTTTTATATACCTTTTTTTTTTGTCATAGTTCAAAAAGGTTAGACAGATAGCAACACTTTTATTCGTACTCAGATAATAGGGGTATTTAAGTGTGTAAAAAATTACAAATTACCTTTTTAAGGACATTTTTATTTAATATAATCGTGCGTATAAGTGTGTTACGTTATCTTAAAGTGCTTGCTGTCATTAAACATTCAATATAAAATGTATAGTTATGGTAACAATTAAACAAAAAAATAAAGAAATTAATAAAAAATTCTTTCCTCCATCTTTTTTTTTACTGATCCAATTGCGTACAATAACGAAGGTAATGTGATGCCATCAAATTTCGGATGTCGAGTTATCGAGAGGAACGCATTTCTCTGTAGTAGAAAGTAAAAATAAACTATTTTTGGAGAGATGTCAGTCTCTCTGTCTGCCGGTCTGTCGATCTGTTTGTGTATGGATTGGCGAGCTTTTGTAATATACAAGACCTCTAAAACCTTTTTTACCAATTAACATTTTTGAGTATATAAAGGGAAATTATCAACCAACTTTCTTGAAATTAAATACTTAAATTCAGAGTGAAACAATAAATCTATAAATTTTTTGGAAACATCTGGGCTCGGAAACCCAATTTTTGGCCGATTTTATATTTTTTTACCATATCTACGAAACGGATTGATGGAATTTCGTGAAATTTGATATTTGAGTTCTGGTTGTTACCGAAACTAACTGGTGAACCTTTTAGGGAATTCAGGTAGCACAAACGAAATTCTACTAAGAGCCAAATTTACACTTTTCCAGGTATGTTAGGTAAAAGCTTACTAACTTTCTCAAAATTGAAATGGTGTGTTCAAAATGCATTTATCCTAACCATCTGTAACATTTTCACTAAACTAGGCAATATGCATTGCGGTTGGTTATGTGCTGATAACATCAGATTTTTTAGATTTAATTTTCAATTCGGCAAAACATTCTTTTTGGCATTCAATATTAGAATTCGATGACAAAACATAGCGTCGTCTAAAATTAATACACATTATGTATTACATAAGATTGTAGCAAAGTTAATGGAGATTGTATCAAATACACACTGGAATTTTGACAGAAAAAATTAAAATAATTTAATATTTTTACTCCCTATACAAAAGCGTATTAAAACAAAAAATGCGGGTTCTGGAATTTGAGTGCTAATATAAGCTGCAAATATTTCATATCGAAATTTATTTTTTTTTCATGTTAATTGAATACATTTTTTTGCACTTTCCTCGAATTTTATTTATTTGAGTAAATATGCTTTGATTACCGAAGTGAGAACTGACGATATTCTTTCCTCTTGAATCTATTTTAGACGTGTACAAGACATTAAAGTAAGGCATAACGCAGAAATTTATTTTTTGTTACCAGCTATTTGAAAAATTTTTTCATAAATTTTTGTAGATTTTATGAGTATATCTAATTTCTTTTTTATTGTTTTTTTTTTTTGTCTTCTTCACTCTTTCACTACATTTTTTATTACTATTTTAACACCTGCTTAAGTGCTGTTCACTTTTTATTCAAAAATGTCATGTATGTAGGTATGTAGATTGTTTTTGTTTTATTTCAAATAATATTAAAACATTTTTTATTTCCATTTAATTTATATTATTTTTTTTTGTTAAATTATGTTTTGTTATCTCTTAGATGAGCCTCTAAAACTGTCACATTAAATTGTAGATAATAAAAATTTAAAAAAAAAAGCTTATACACACATATACGCATGTATGTATGGATGTGGGTAGTGTAAACAAAAGATATGCATATGTAGATATTGTTTGCATATTCTATGATTGCCATGTGCTTTTAATTATTTAAGAAATAAGGGGAAACAAATTTTTTTATGTAGCTGTGTTGAGCCCATAGTAAATATTTTTACGTTCTTAAAATTTTTTTTAGGGAACTTTTGTTTTTCGTCAAATGAAATAGTAGTGAGTTTTTTATTTTTTTTTGAAAAAAGTGTTAGCACTTTTATTAAGTTAGGAGAGTAAAGGAGTAGAATTGAATATAGAATTAAACTAGAAAAGTTTTTGTTATATTTTAAAAATATTGCCAATATTGTCGTCATAGAGGATATTTCTATTTACTAGTGTTCAAATTTATTTAATAACATACGAATAGTCATGAGTATGAGTAATTCATATCCCCAATTTTATGTTCATTTAATTGGATTTATATGCAATGTTGAGATTGATTGTGTCTTTCATTAACCATAAATAATTTATCACCAGTCATGAAAAATAATCTGCAATGTGTATATTATTCAGAACTGAGCGATTTACATTAAATTATACGTGAAGGCAACACTGTCAAGCTATTTTTTCCATGTCATCTCAATAATGTTAACAAATATTAATTAAGAAGTTAGAATTTTGTGAAAAATATGCATCAGGGCTTAAATAAACTCAATTTGAATATATGTTAATTTTGTAATCACAAATTTTGAAAGTAAGGCAATCTGCTACATATTTTTTCGCTAGACGGTGTAATTTTGTTTATAAGCAAAAACACTCGGTATTTTTGATTAAAAATATTTTTGAAATATAAAATAATATGAGTTAAACATTAAAATGAATATTAAAATTTACTTCCTTATATATAAATAGTAGGGAAAAGTTCAAAATATATTAATTAAAAAAAAAAGGGAAACAAAAGAATTTTATTTAAATTGTTATAATAAAAAGTTTTGCTATACAAGAATTGCTTATAAATTTTAGCATTTAAATTTGTTTATACACCTACTTTTATATGTCTGTATTTAGATATTGTTCAATAATTTGTGAAGAATTTTTTTTATTTTCATTAGCCACTTAAAAATAAAGCAATACATAGAATGTGAATATTAAGAATTTTTATATAAACACAAAAATTACCGAAATTAACATTATTGTACGAATAATCAAATATGAAATGTGTATACATACATACATTATATAAAGTTTATGCTATTATTTTTTAAAATTTTTATCTTATATTATGTATAATTATGATAAATAAATGGTGGAAACTGATTAATTTCTAAGATTATTGTGACTTTTAAAGGATATTTTATTCTTTTTCTCTTCAAGGAACCCGCCATTTGATTTCTGATTTGGTTTGTTACCAAATACTTCTCTACAAATTTAAATTACCATTAATGATCATTTAATGTAAATTAGATAAAATTAAATCTCTTTTTTCCAAAAAATATCAATGTTTAAAATTATTCACAAATAAAATTAACGCTCATTTCTATGAAATTTGGTCATGTAATTCGGCAATTGAGATTATGAGTAATATACATTTAAAAATTAAAAACGTCTAATTTTATAAAAAACAAAATTAGTAAATAAGCTTAGATTTTTTAAATTATTCTACAATCTCCAACAATTTAATATATTATTCACTTGAGTCCACATCACCTTATCCATATCCGGCTATATTATGTTTGCTATAATAATTTATGTATGCAAGTAGTAAGATTATCTTAAATGATAATGTTATAATGAAAATAATCTAATAATCTGTTATATTGTTAATATTAAAAAATGTTCATAGATTTTTAAATTTTTTTTACTTTTTGTTTCAATTGAAAAGGATATCCTGTTATAATTTATTTGTTTAATATAAAAAAAAAGTGAAGTTTTTCAAGTTATTTGCTCTATATTACAATGGTTGGCTTAAACTCAGTAGCTTATACAATTTTTACAATGCACACGTATAGACATATATATATATATATGTATATATATATATATTGTAAAAAGAAAACTAAAAGTAAGTAATATTCTTTGGTAGCTTCATTAAGTTAGAAAGCAGAAAATTAATTAAAGAAGAAATTGAAATACAGGTTACAAAGAACTTGTTTATTTAGAATATTTTCTAAAATTTTGGCTGGTAAATACTTAGATGCTATGATTCGCGTGATATCCGTACAAAATAATTCGTATGTTATATAATATGGAATTCGAAAATTTTATTATGTTGGTAAATGAACTATTAAAAAACTAAAGCACGGTCTAAGTGTTTTTGTGATGATTAACGTTTTTCTCGTTGCTATTATGTCATATTTTGACTCCTTTACATCTAAACTTCCAAAGATTTGCAAACTTTATTTATTTTAATTAAAATCATTCAAATTGGAATTATATTTTTCTTGATTACGGATGATCTCGTATTCGAAATAATTGTGTATCCGTTATATATGAAATTTATTCAAACCCCGAATGTATTGTAAAAAAAAGAAAACAGCTTAAGAAATTTTTCCCGAAAAAAAGCCGATTTCGAGCCGTTTTCGAGCCGATTTTAGTATGTAAGCTTGAAATTAATTTTGAAGCCTCAGAACTAAAAATTATGGTAAAATATATTTAAAAAAAAATATAATAAAAAAATAAGTCAAATTAGGTTTGAATTACTATACATTTTTTCATCAGTCAATCTAGATTGAAGTTGAAACCAATTTAAAATTTTAACATTTTGCAAATTAATATTACTATAGGACAAATAGAATAATTAAATAGTTTTGTTGGAGATTTCGTATTACTTTCTATTCACAGAGCTTAAAATAATTCAAAACCATTTTAAAAATTTACTTTTATGTATGTTATTATTAAATGAGAAATGTTCATCTTAATATTGAATTTAAAATCCATAAATTCAAATTATATATAAATTACATACATATGCATATTCTTCCTTGCAAAACCCAATACA